TGATGGCACGTCACGTGATCCCAGGCCCCGCCTTGGATCAGCGACCTTCCATCGCGGCTATCCCGATGGTCTTCCTTCCTGCGGCCTGCATAACAAAAGGAAGCAACTCCTTGTTACCTTGTAACACGACGCCTACTCGAGGTGTCAGACCTGTACAACGTCGATTACATTAGCTTGGACGTTTTCAACAAGTCCGGCAACAGTGCGATTACTATTGGGATGTCGACGTTTAGGGGTGATGATTCGCCTAATAATATTAGGAGGAAGAGGCCTTGCGCTGACGAGGACTTCTACTTTAGCTCGAGTTGCATCTTCTAAAGGCAGGTTACGACACAGGACAGCCCAAAGTCGGTTATGGGGCTCTTTAATTGTTTAGCTGGGCTATTGTGGAGTAGTGGTTGATATAGACCTAGTGCATATGTTTTATAGTTCGTACTATGCAGCCTTCTTCGAGCTGATGCTCTATCCTATAGGTAGGGGATTTGTGTGCCGAGAAGGTCAGCACGTTAGCACTTGTGTTATAGCGCAGGCGCTGACCTAGCCCCTTGCACCTCCTCTAAAAATTGTCTGGACATTTCTCTTACTCTGGTAGACTGTAATAATCTAACTCAGTTAGCAGACTGAATGTGATCAAGGCGACAAGAGGCTCGTTGCAAGCATAGAATGACATCCTGCCTTAACAGTGTTGTGGTATGATCCTAAAGTGTCAGCCGAGTAAGACGTCTATAGAAAGCTTTCTTAATGTTCGTCAAGTCGCGTAGCGATCACGAAGGGCAAACACTACCTGCTGCGTAAGCTCTTTGCTCCAAGTGGATCTGTTGTGCGTTCAGCAGAGGGACGTCCTCTTATCCTCATGAATACAGATTTGTCGTGTGCGATTTATTCTTCGCACAGTTGCCTTGTCTGAACGGATCTAGTGCAGCCGTCCGATGTCTGACGTGTGGGGGCATGCGGGCGCTTGCTTAGGTTTCCACGTCCAGGCACCACACCGCGCAACCCAATTCTCGGCCATCATCGTCGGCTCGTCGCAGAGCCACCTCAACACACAAGCTGCCCAATACAGTATCTTGAACACGCGACACTGTCTTACCTCGGGGAGCGGAGTAGCTGCATACCTCTAACTTCCCACTGGCTGACGCAGAAGAGGGCCAATCAGAAGCTCAGGACCAATTGTCATCAACCGGGTTCGGTTTTCCTGTGCCCAAGAGCTAACGTATCACGTCCACGAAGTTCGCGCAACAGCAGAGCATTCATATATAGCTTGGTAGGGCTGGAGTAATCCTGTCAGACGGAAAGCCGGCTGTGCTGCTTATATCTACTCACCCTTCCCTCGCGCTCTGCACCACATCTAATCTCGACTCTCAGCTCCAGTCGTACTCGTCTCACGATGTCATAATTTCGAGCCTAGTGGAGGAACCCTGGCGACGTGTTCTCCATCCTCCTCATTGTCGGCGGCGATGTTATCCTTCTCGCTCTGGCCTGTGTCACGGGCAGGGTACTCACACCTGTAACTTTTTCATTCGGATGGGTGGCATACGCAATCTCAGCTGTTGTAGCAGCTGTGGGAGACAACAAACTGTTGGCACACTGCACGCCCCAGTTACCACTGAAAGTCATCAACCTCAAGAACGGATACAACCGTGACAACAAATCCTGGCTTCTTGGTAGGTGCTTGAAAGATTACAACTACTGAATGCCTAAGGACGTAAGGCAGCGTCTCGTTAGACCCCCTGTTCATCCTAATAAAGAAGATCGAGTCGCTCATGATCCATTTCCTGCGCGGTCAAGTGGTTTAGAACGATCCTCTACGAGTGTAGCCATGGGTCGTTCCAATACCGCATTCTGCATCACTGTCTACAGATGGGTTGGCGATGTGAAGCTGGGATTACCTAACCGTGACTGGGCGTGGTGGAGTGAGCTTTTCATGTCCATCCTGCAGTTGTGTGTCGCAGCAATTCCATGGGGTCTTCACAACAACTGGAACGTTTTCATCGCTACTGCGGCTGGCACCGTCATAGCATACGCCTCTGCATCCTTGCCACAGTGGCAGATCAAGAATTGGGCACCGGAGCGTAGGATAAAGGATATCGCGACAACTCAAGGAAACAGCAATCAGCACGTTATCGTGGTCCTGGGCGCAGACCATGGTTTCGACATGGAAGCGCCAGCTGCCGCACGATCGCCTAAACTGGGGTCGACTCGCATATACAGCTCCACCACACTGCTGCGGCTCGAGACGACGTAGTGCGATATTCTATGACAGTACCATTGCGCCGAGTGCGAAGGCGGGCTTCTCTACAACAATCGATAGAGCCTCAGGTGCCAGCCAAATACCCAGATTCCCTACTAGAGCTTGACCCTGTTTGATATGGAGATCTCGGTGCTAGCGCTCGCGCCACCACAGAGCGATCGCTACGGGCTCGCCAACATGCTAATAGCGATAGACGTGAGCACCAGCGGGCTAGGTCATACTCGATGTCTAGTCGTCGCATGCTAGCGAAACAATAGTTGACTTAGTACGTCCCAGCACTACTGCGTAGTAAACCGGCCACAAACGAGACTTCCAAGGAACACCCCACCTAATATCGACGAGAAGTACCCAACATTGAACGTCATTACTGCGAGCATGCTACAGCGAAGTGAGCTATAACATCTCAAGTTGACATCAGTTGTACTCACAGTAGATAACTCACCCCTGCGACTACCACATCTAGCGTCGCTACCATGACAGCTTCGTCCGCCCGCCAAGGTCTCGTCGTCGCTTTGTCCTCTCCACCTTGAGACGCGATTAGTCCTTTGTACCGGTTATGCCTAACAGCAATGAGGATTCTGAAGAAGTTGACTCGAATTGCTAGCAACATCCTGAACATCGTCCCGAGTGTGATCAGGAATATGCATATCCCAGCATATTGTCCTGAATTGTGCGGAGTGAAGTTCTTCGACCAGAGAGGTGTTGAGGTTGAGACGAAGAAGGTCATGGCCATTGAGTCGGCGCCCATCGTCATCGAGGATGCAGTCGAGGGGGACGAAGGCATGGTCATCATTTCTGTTGCTGTGGCGGACATAGCCATGGTCATTGACATGTCCATTCCGGGCTCCGGAGGGGCCTGTCAGTCTGTGAGCAAAGGCGACTGGGCGTGTTCGTAGATTAGGTCGGGAGCGACAGGTGTCAGCCCCGTCGAACGATTGCAAAAGAGTGGTAACAGGATGTAACTGAGTTGTCGAGGACCTATTAACGTTGCGCCCGGCAATAACAAGCATTATTAGTCAATCGAGAATTGCGAAAGGCGTTCAGCGGAAGCACGCGTTAACTTGCTCAAAGTCGCTCAAACGCTCGCGCTTTCCCGCAAGTGGACTAGGCTGACACCTACTCATTCCGACGCGCGGCGCAACACATTCCGAAATATACGTTAGCGATACATGAAATCCGATGATGCCAATCAGATCATGCTCAACCGTAGATGTGGCGTCGGTATGCATGATCCGGTGCGCTGGTCAGGTCGCGTCTGCCGGACCGCACTCAAGCACTCGTTAAACAAAGCTTAACACGGCTTACGATCCTTGGAGCGGTCTTATCTTATGATCAGCAACCTGCTCGATCATTCGAAACTCGCCGTCCTTCGCGCTCTGTATTTTGGACCGAAGAATTCACGCTACGCTTGATGCAAGAGCAACTACCATGGCGAGCTGGCTCACGTACCCACTACAACTGACGGGTAGTCGCGACTTTACCTGCGACGGTTTTACTGAACAGCAATGCAGCTACTACATGCAAAAATGGCACTTCTGGTACGCAAACGCCTGTCGCACATCATTGAGCATGTACTAACACCATTCCCCAGGTACATCGCTGACTACGTTTACGCTTTGCCAACCATAGCCTTCTTCTTGAGTGGGCTTGGAATGTTCATCATCGGAAACCTTATATCATCACAAATGTTGGGGTATCGCAAGTTTAGAGGACCTCTCGTCTGGCAGAAGTCGATAGCCTTGATTCGATACCTGTCATATCGTGGCTTCCACATCAAAACACTGCGATGGAACTCGGCACCAGTCGGCGTCCTTCTACTTGGAGCTGTGGGTGCAGTATACTTCTGTTGTGAGTTACGCATCCATGATGTCCTCTCAAGGGGGTCCTCACTGACGATATCGTCTCCAGGCATGGACCTGGTACCACAGCCCTACTACTGGTCGAGCGAAGACTTCGGCGGCTCACCACCACTAGGGACCAGATCGGGCTGGATGGCATTGGCTTGTATGCCTTTCGTCTTGTATGTCCGTCATAGTTCACACAATAGTAACATTCTGACCTTGACAGTGCGACGGCAAGCAAGACAAACTGGATCACCCTCACGACTGGAGTATCCCATGAGAAGATTCAAGTTTTCCATCGCTGGACTGCGTACGCGTTCTTTCTGCTTGCATTGATGCACACATTCCCTTTTATTGTATATCACATCAGATGGCACGACATGGTGATGCAAGTCACGATGATGAACACACTATTCTACTGGACCGGCATTGTTGCACTTGTTTTTCAGGCCTGGCTCACGTTCGCCTCACACAGTGTGATGAGGTAAGTCAATCAATACCTATACATCAGGGGATCGTGACCAACAATCGCAGGCGGATGGGTTACGAGTTCTTTAAAGCTACGCACTTCACTGCAGTCGTTGTCTTTGTGGTCGTATTCTTCTGGCATTGCGACTATACGCTCACTTCCTGGTAAGTGCCTATGTTATCACATACTTAGCAGGGCTGACGTGCTCATAGGCACTACTTCATTGCAACAGCTGCGATATACGTCCCGTGCTTCGTTTATCCGTGGCTTCGCACCGCTTTCGAATACGGGTTCACTCAAAAGGCATTCGTGGAAATCGAGGGCAATGGTTTCATACGCCTTACCGTCCCATCGGTTAACATGCGATGGAAGCCAGGGCAGCATTGTTTCCTACGGTTCACGAGTTTTGGTCTACAGGCTTTCTCTTCTCATCCTTTCACTATTTGCTCTCTGCCTTCCACACAGTCGAGTGAGAAGTCCGAGCTGGTATTCTACATACGGCATTCGCATGGCTTGACGAAGAAGCTCTATGAACATGCTCAGGAGCATCCAGAAATCTCTCTGCCTATCCTGGTCGATGGCCCATATGGTGGTATCAACATGCAAAGATTGAACGATGCAGATCGCTTGCTCGTCATCGCAGGTGGATCAGGCGCGGGCTGGATACTTCCCTTTCTCGAGCTCTTCTGTAGGCAGCGAAGCACTACAAGCATGGCTGACATGTCAACCGGAAGCAATATTTCGCCCAGCGACGAAGAGAAGCGATCCGGCGTTGAGCATTGCCGCAAGCTACGCGTCGTCCTGGCTACTCGCGATATCGCCAATCGCACTTGGTTTCTGGAAACGGTTGCTGAACTCTTCGCCAAGTACTCTCCACAATTGAAGCCCAGCGACATCGACATCGAAATCCATTTGACTGATAAAGCAGAGCGGATGGTCGTTGCCGCAGGTACGAGAGGTTACGAATCGGTTTCCACCTCATCTTCAGCAGGCAACATCGAAGTGGAGGCCAAAAGCGACCAGGTTACAGTGCCAACGGAAGAGCTTGCTGGTCGGCCAAACTTGCCCCATGTCATACAGAAGCAGACTGAAATGATAAGAGCATATGATGAGTCTTTGAGCGTGTACGTCTGCGGGCCGATTACTATGCAGAATGACGTTAGAAATGCAGTTGCGAAGGAAAATCTGGCAATACTCAAGGGTGTGAGGTCCGGCGGTGTATACCTGCATTTGGAACACTTCTCGTGGGCTTGAAGATCTGCTCACTATGTATCATCATCTCCTGCAACAATACAGATAGCCTAACCAATGTAACGCGACGAGAGAGGCCGTTGTTGCAGCAAATTTCGCTTCAAATAGCCTAGCTTCAGAGATTTTACTAGTAATTAAGGGGCCGACTCGCAAAATCGTTAGGTGCCCAACCCACCAATGTTCGAAACAGTGCATCGCTCGTGGAGGCATCTGCAATGTAAGATACAAGGTGCTGCAAAAACCTTGTCACCGCTCGTGCCAAATTCTCCATGTGTTGTATAGCAAGCGCCTGTCAGGGTTGCGATTGCTCAAGAAAGAGGTCGGATGTTATCATTGGACTGAAAGTGCCAGGAAGTTCGCAGCCGTGTGTGCGCTTCATTAGGGCTTCGATGCAGCCGAAAAACTCCATGCGTGTCAACACCTTCACCTCTGGACTGTAAGTCTCCGCAGGTTCGTTGTCGCAAACATTGGTGATAGCGTAATAGTGTCCTTCGCGCGTCATCGTTCAAGCGAACGACTGGTACATCCGCTCACTTTCAGAACCCGGAATCAAAGTGTCTGGCTCTGTGATCAAACCTAGTGCTCGAGCCCCATTCCTATCGGCAGCTCGAGCTAGCTACAGTACGATCTGGTTGGCGTAGTTGTTCTTCGCGGAGACAACTGTAAGAATGATGCTCCTAGGCTCCTTCGTGTATGACTTCACTACATCCTGCACGAACTCTACATCAGCCGCCGATTGCTGCTTTGTCTCGGAATGGATGAGTCTAGGTTGACGATGGTAAGGTGTCATGTTTCGGGACGTACATCCTGGGATCGATATCATAGGCCGAGCAAGACTGTAGCGTACTAGCCGAGCGATTTCTACCGCCATTCGGCGGACCCTGTGCGCAGGCATATCGCAAGGATGACACTGTTCTGATACTAGCCATAGATTCGATTGTCGACGGGTACCACCCATCTTCATACATCTCTCTTCGAAATGATTCTTTGATTGGCGGTGTCCAGATCACAGACCATGAGAGCCCTTCTTTAGGCATGGAAGATCCTACAATCATCCTTGCGTGCGCGTTAACTAATGCTTCAGCGATGATGGCGATGCAGCAAACCATTGAGACCATGTCCTTAACGCTTCTGGCTGAGATTCTTCGATTTAAGAAAGACAGCTGTGCATAACGTCTACTAAGCGGTCGCTAGTCATAACCAACTTGCCACTCCGATTCCTTTAAGCAGCATTTCTTCTGCTATGGAGGCCTCGACCACCGCTTCCAACGGGCCGAATGTGAGCAGGCTTTGATAACTAGCCGCCAGATATCGGGCTGAAGAATCTTTCGGTCGAGCATCGAGATATTCGCGTAGAGACACAGGCTCATGACCATCATGCGGATATCCCAGCTACTCTGGACCGTCAAAAAGTCAGGAACGACAAGAGTCTTCGTCGCGAGATAACCTTACGACTGATCTCCTAGAAACTCATCTATCAACATCAGTCTAAAGACCTGCGAGCATGCGATGGATACACCGAACATAGAACGTGGCAAAGGCTGTAAGTGGAAGTGATGACCAAGATTGCCAGACAAAGACATATCGGGTCATTGTATTCCGAGCGAATGATCCCCCGGGCACTGGAACATAGACTGATCTGCAAGTGTTAATTGCTGATCCTTTGGAGCGGCCAAAGGCACGAGTTTAGTGGTAAAAGGCTCACACGGTAGCGGGCACCAATATAACGCTGAGCAGATACTAACGGAAAGTCGGGTTAAATGCAGGCGATTTCGGTTTGGTAGATCATAAGAGCGCTGCCGGTGGGTAATTGTTGATCTCACACAACGTGACTTGGTAATCGATAAGACGGCTGAACCACTCGCCAAGCGAGGACATATGTCCTAGAGCGGGCGGGATGGACGTGCATTTACAGAGTTCTATCACACTACTTTCTCCAGATCCAGCAGCCAGGAACCTCATGGCTAGGCCTAAGGCGGAGTGGCAGTTCGTGGTCCGGCAATTGCGGGTAAAGTGAAGATGCGGGGATACCCCAGCCAAGGCTGCAGCACTCTCATATATCCCGTAGGCTCGAGGAGTTCCTGGATAACTACCAGTCATTCTATGCGTAACGATGCTTGTCTTACTTTTATACTTAGGATGCTTGGTGGTCGCCCCAGCACTAGCAGCCCGCCAAAACACTGTCAACTGTTCAGGTCCATCGTCAGGAGAACTGTTCTTAGGCAATCAGACCTCCTCGGTACAGATACTGGTAGCCAGCGAGGAATGGCCAGCCGTGCTGAGAGCTGCAGGCGACCTCGCCCTAGACTTTGGTCGTGTAACTGGAGTCAATGGCACAGTCACCCTTTACGGAAATCAAACGTCTCATGACGCATCGATGATCTTCAATGTCACCAGCATTACCAGCTTCAGTCTTCCAAAACCACAAAACAGATCGACTGGTGGTGTCATTATCATAGGAACAATCGGCAAATCAAGCATCATTGATTCGATGATCGGTAGTGGAAATCTGGACGTTGAGTCGATCACAGGACGATGGGAAGCATTTTCATCACAACTAGTTCAATCTCCACTACCCGGTATTGAATCGGCTCTCGTGATCGTTGGAAGCGATCGGAGGGGCGCTATATACGGCCTCTACGATGTTTCAGAGCAGATTGGTGTTTCACCTTGGTACTTTTGGGCTGACGTACCTCCCAAAAGCTGCCACACAGTCAGTGCAATGCGTACAACTAGAATTCGAGGAACACCGTCTGTCAAGTACCGTGGCTTCTATATCAATGACAACGCTCCTGCACTCTCAGGCTGGATCACAGCCAAGTTTCCCGGAGCAGGAGAGCCGCCCATCTACGGTGCAGAATTTCACGCACTTGTCTTCGAGTTGGTCTTGAGATTGCGAGCCAACTATCTGTGGCCCGCAGGTGGAGACTGGACTCAAATGTTCTTCGTCGACGACAAACGTAATCAGCCCCTCGCGGACGAATACGCCGTGGTCATCGGGACAAGCCATACCGAGCCCTTTCAGCGTGCCACGATGGAGTGGTCGCTCTTTGGCAATGGTCCGTGGCAATGGACTACAAACAACGCTTCCATTGTCCCCTTCATGCGTGATGGCGCAATCAGGGCCAAGCCTTACGAAAGCATCATCACGATGGGCATGCGCGGAAGTGGAGATACCGCTCTATCCGCCTCGATTGAGACTGAGCTATTAGAGAATATTGTCGACACGCAGCGTGAAATCTTGGCTGACGTTTATGGTGAAAATCAATCCTTGGCTAGTATTCCGCAGCTGTGGTGTTTGTACAAGGAAGTACAAGGCTTCTACGAGGCTGGGATGCAAGTTCCCGACGATGTCACTCTGCTCTGGTCTGACGACAATTGGGGCAATATTCGACGTTTACCAAACGTAGATGACCGCGACCGCCCGGGAGGTGCTGGTGTTTACTTTCATTTCGATTATGATGGCCTGCCTAGAAATTACAAGTGGCACAACACAATCCAGCAACAGAGGACTTGGGAGCAGATGTCTATGGCTCATGAACGCGATGCAAGAGAGATTTGGATCGTCAACGTGGGCGACATAAAGCCAGTGGAGATTCCACTCACCTTCTTCCTGGATATGGCCTACGACTACACTGAATGGGCTGCGCCCGACAGCGGTTCAACCTGGGAACGAATTTGGGCATCAAAGACTTTCGGCGAGTCTTATGCTGCTGATATCAACTATGTACTAGATCGTTTCGGTCAACTCGCTGGTCGAAGGAAGTTTGAGCTCATCGAACCAGATACGTACTCAGTCATTAACTATAACGAAGCCGACATTGTACTCCAAGAGTGGGCAGAACTTGCACAATTGGCATTGGCAATCGATTCCAGCCTGCCTGATTCATACCACGCAGCCTTCTTTGAGCTCATACTCCATCCTATCCTTGCTGGACAGGCTGTACACGAAGTCAATGTGAACTCAGCAAAGAATCTTATCTATGGAATCCAGGGAAGAAACTCCGCAAATGGCTACGCCAAGAAGGTGCTTGATGGCTTCGAAGAAGATCATAACCTTACCGTACGATCTCATTCACTCGTCAGTGGCAAGTGGGATCATATGATGGACCAAGCCCATATTGGCTATGTCCAATGGAATCAACCAAAACGACAGCTCTCTCCCCCAGTCAGGTATGTTCAAACGCTTGAACGATCTTATGCTGGCGATCTCGGAGTAACTACAGAGGGTACAAATGCCAGCGTTCCAGGTGATGATCCATACCACGCACTATTCTCGAACCAATTGACCATCCTCCCGGCAGACCCGTATGGACGAACAAGGTTTGTCGATTTGTTCAACATGGGGACTGACACCACCGTCTGGAGTATTTCCGGGCCGTCATATGTGAACTTTACATTCGAAAACGGTGATTCGGCTCACCAAGGCACCATCTCTCCCGGTGATACGGATGTTCGGATATTTCTCAACGTCAACTGGGTCGCTGCCCCGAGTGGCTCATCGAGTACAGTAATCAAAGTTACTTCCTCGACTGGCTATGGCCAGCAACAAGGCCCTTCCAATGGCTTAGGACCATCCTTGGTTTTCCCAATAAACAATACAGTTGTACCTTCAGGGTTTCAAGGCTTCGTGGAGTCAGAAGGTTATGTCGCTATGGAAGCGAGTCATTATTCCCGTCTTGTCGGCGATACCAGCAATGGCTCAGAATCCGCATACACGATCATTCCATGGTACGGCAAAACCTTAAGTGGTGTCGCATTACGCGATCCTCTTGCGCCGTCCTACGTGAACGCAACTACCGCTCCCTTTCTTGAGTACGATTTCTATAGCTTCACGAACACAACCACGACAATACCAACCAACATAACTATGATCTTAGGACAGGGTCTGAATACAGATCTAACTCGGCCTTTGAAGTACGCTGTCGCTATTGATGACTCACCCCGAAAAGTGGTGCAGTATGTGATCGACCAGGATGGCGGTGCCCTTCCGGTAGGGTGGGATCAAACTGTTTCCAATGCAGCTTGGGCTAGTGTAAGTAATACAACAATCGCGCCCGGCAAGCACACTCTTATGGTGTGGCTACTCGAGCCTGGCATAACCCTACAAAAAGTCATTCTTGATTTTGGTGGTGTTAGGCAAAGTTACCTTGGGCCACCGGAAAGTAAGAGAGTATAGTCATTAGGCCGAAGAGCATTCTGGGCCTAATCCTACTCTACTGTTACAAACAAACACAGGATGATCGCCTCGGACCAAAAATACAAGGTTGAGAGCCAACTGTCGCACAGAACGAAGGATAAAGGATTAGTGTAGGGCACCTATCCCATATAAGGCCGCGGGTAATGCATGGTAGTAGAGGGACACGCCAGCAACCCCTCACCTGTGGTTTTGCCAGGTTATCGTTCGGCAAGACTACCCATTGTGGCTTTCGCGCGAAGTAGTATACCAGCATCTCGATTACCCAGCCTCAGCTCTATTAGCTGTCAACAGATGCATATACATAAGTTCATTCTCACAACACTTGATCGCACACAACAACGAAGTTTATTCTTGCGCTCACTCAACGATCATTAACCATCCTCACAGTCATGCCGACAAAGACCACGGCCGCTCACCAACGTCCCACCTCGCAGGTTCTTCGCCCATGTAGAATACCAACTCACCTCCTTGTGCGATCTCTCCATGCTTGAGCCAAGCTCGGTCGAGCTCTTCCCCGTTCCAAGTGACTTTCTGCGGATAATAGCTCGTGCTTGACAGATTCCGTGCCAAAACAGTCAAGGAAGTCTCAACCGACGTTCCGCTGAAGAGAGATACGTTTAGTGATGAGAACCGTGGGGAGGATAGAAGATAGAGTGGCTGACCGGGCATGGGGTACATGCCCACAAGATTGAAGATCAGCCAGCTGGGTAGCGCGCCGCCGTCAATATTTCCTGGGTACCCGTTGCGCGCATCGCTGTAGAAAGAGTCGACTGTGGCGCGTGTCTGATTGACTGTCTTCCAATGCATTCCAGGTACGTAGTTGTAGAGAAACGGCGTCGCGAAAGATGGTTCGTTGCCGGGGTTGAAAAGGGCGGAGCCAGCGTCGTTATTGGCACCGACCGATGTGCCGAGACCGGGGACGAAACTGGCGTCTAGTCGACGAACGAAAGTCTCATCGCCACCCATTAGGTTGATGACTTGAGCCATGTCGTGCGGAGCGACACTAAATGCAGTCTCCCAGACCTTGGCCTCGTATATGTCGGCATCCCAACCGCAAGTACCACAGCTTAGTGGGTCATACGCTGTGAGGTTCCACGTACCGTCTGCATTTCTGGCACCTGGAAACCCAGTGAATGTGCCGATACCATCAAGAGTTGTCTTAGCCGTGGGATTCCATTGATTCTGCCACCAGCTCGACCGGGCACGCATTTGATCGACCGCATCTCCAGATTTATTGAGCCCTTGCGCCAGACTATAAATCGCAAAGTCGTTCTGCGGGTACTCGACCCCACGAGAAATGCTGCGAGTGTGGTTGCGCGTGATGAACTGGAGGGACAGATAGTCGTCCAAAGCCCCTCTCCCCTCCTTGGTCGCTCCATCAAATGCTACCGGATCGAGGTTGCGCTCGGGCATTACATTTGCGTCCTTCATCACTGCCCTGTAGGCCTCCTGCCAATCGATTGCGCTGTCAAGCTCGCCACGCCCTGCCTCACCGTTTAGTGCGCGAACGCTCTTTACGAAACCGTCGGCTAGCACGATATCTGCGTGCGTGCCACCTTGGACTCGGCCATTCCAGTTTGCTGCCCGTCCTGCCGGTAAGTAGCCTTCTTCAGTGAAGATTGAGATCAGTCCTGAAAGAACGCGGGAGTACGGCTTTGTAAAGATCAGATGGTACAGAGGTAACAAGGTCCGGTATGTGTCCCACAGAGTCTGTAGCAATTAGTGTCCAAACGTTGACGGCAAGAGGTCAGCTTACATAGTGATCGTCATAATATGGCTTTGTATCATCTGAATTCCAGACAGGGTTCTCACCGGTTTTGTCAGTCGGCATCAGACCTGTCTGATATAGGGCTGAATATAACATCCGTTTCAATGTCACGTTGTTGCTTGTCGCATCTCCGTCGTGTCCGATCTGGATTTTGCTCAAGACTTTCATCTCCCATTCCTGTCTCGCTTGGTCTATGACGTCCTCAAAAGACCTTGCACCAGGAAGCTCGTTTTCGATGTGCGAGCATGCTTGAGCAGCACTGATATAGGAGATGCCAACTTTGGATTCAAGCGTAAGGGTACCGTTCACTCGCGCCTCTGTCGGCGACCAGCTAAACAGAGCACCGAGGCCCATCCCGCTTCCGGAGTAGGATCGCACATCAGGATATCCCCTGAGGATTGGTCGAGTTGTCGGTGGCGAGAAGGGGTTGTATTGCCAACTGAATGTGCCAGCACCAGGTGTGATACCTGAGTGCTCACCCTGAATATAGTCTGATGTTGGGGTCAATACAGAGCTTTCGGATACACTGAAGTTTCCGCAAAAGTGGATCGTGTGGGAATCAGGCTGTGGCCATCCGCCTGTGTAGGTTGCGGATCCATGGTATGACGGCAACGCGTTGGGAGACGATGGAATATGCAGCTCTCCGCGCAGGAACTTTTGCGAATAGGCCATAGAGGAGTAGGCTGGAAGAACATGCGTAAGGTCTACCAGTACGTGCGCGTCCTGTTCATGAAGTGCGTCGGCTCCCGCCATTGTCAAGGTGGATGAAACATTCGAAGGCGTTTTCGACTCTGGGAAGGTGTATCGCATATATCCAGTGTGATTACTGGAAGTTATCTCGATCTTGATGCCATTCTGCAGAGTCGTAGTAAATAGGCCTACTGTCGCAGATTCCAAGTCAAGACTACGATTCTGGGCATAAGTCATGTTGTCGGCGAGATTCACAGAGGCTAGGCTGCCGAAGAGTGGCATCTGTGATATCAACCCATCTATCTCTTATCAGTACTACGAGCTGATTGGGGAAGCAGGGAGCTTACACGTTGGCGCTCCGCCAGATCCGCTGACGTGGGTCATGCTCACGGCCGTCACGTTGCCTAGGGGAGTGTATCCAGCATTTGCGTCCACTGCACTTCCATTTGGAAGTCCGATGTAGCTCGTGTCGATTCCAGGCTTCGCCATCGCCCACGGTAGACTCGCACCAGGGAATGAGTTTCCACCTGCAATCGCGGAACCAGGGCGTGAACCGACGGTACCGATCAAAGGGTCCACGAATGACCACAACGGCTCTCGAGATACTCCATCTTCTGAAGCTGCCGAAACAAGCGATGATGATCCAATCGTTGAACCCAGAAGGAGGAGTCGTGATAGGCAAGGGTGCCGCCGATGAGGTATTATGGAGCGCATTGTCGCAGGACTTAGGGATGCGATCGCGCGAGACGAAAACCACAGCTGGCCATTGCTACTTATTGTACCTCACGGAGTGCACTAAAAGCTCATCTCCGTCACCGGCTTTTCCATGCCGGTGCAACGGCGGGACGTTCATGGTGCCTTATATGTGTGACTGCCAATGAGATTCCAGGATTGGTTCAAACTGCCGAAGTCGCCCCGGTAGTCATCGTGAGCGGGGACTTCTATCGCGTCCGGTCCTCAGTGCTCCGCGATCGTGTTACTCCGCAATGGTTACGTGACGTCGAGCGATGTGGAGAAGGACCGAAAGCATTTGGGCTGGTAAAGTGGTAGCGCAGTTGAACCGGTCTCAATTTTCGCGAGGGTGGAACGTGACCTGCAAGCGTGCGGACTTCTTTGCCCCGGCGTCAGCGTTCCGATTTCAATCGGAACTTCCGAGGAACATCAAAACTTTCACACTATCATTACTTGATTGTGATAGTAGAAGGGGGCCATCTGGTCTTCTGATGCTTGCATCGCTGGTCCTATCATATTTGTCCTAAGCTCGGCGCATCGTCCCGATTCGTCAGTGTGATGGGACAAGTTGTAGACATGGCCGCCACAAAGCAATGCTCGCTGATTCAGCTTACGGCAACTGTAACGAGACCCCTATGAACAGCTCGTGGCGCATCGCATCAGGGGGAAAAGCCTTCTGCTAAAATGCTTCATGACGGAAGGGCGTCCTTGGTCACATGAGAGGTAATGGAGACATACCTCGCCAGTAGTTCAGCTCAACTCGTGATACATCAATTACAACTAAATACTGTTGGTCAATTCCCCATACGCTAATACAATGACAATGCGAGGTCGCGATCCTTTTTAGCTCCATCTATGGAAGAAGTAACGAGCCTTCTCAAACACACTGCTGACAAGATGTGCGGGGTGACTCTCCAGCTTGGTGATGCAATACAGCAAGCTGTTACCGCCCTCAAGGATTGGCAATCTTCTGTTGCCTGGAAATGTAACGACCGGGTTCACCGCAGGGGTATTGAGAAAGCGTTCCTCATCGCTGGGGAAAAGTGCGTCAATGCCCACTTCCCGGGGCTGGATCCCTGATTTCATTCGCTCTATCGTCCTAAGTGACCAGCAAGCCATGGATGCGCGGTAGATCGCTACGGGCCACCATATGGGTCGCGCGTCAACCGGCAGATTGTCGATGAGCCGGAAGATCTGACCAGCATGGAACAAGATGTAGTTCCCTCCTTCAGAATAACGTACTCGGGTCCACATCTCAGCGCATGCTGATGCTGATGATGGAGGTTCTTCCTTAGCACATTTCTCTATGTCAGGGATGCTTGTGCATACATTTAAGCTGACTAGATGTAGCATGATTATGCCCGTCCAATCCACTGGTACATCCCAGGGGTCATTCTCGCTGTTTGTTGTCGCCTGCGAATCTCGATTGAGAAGTGTAGCTAAATCTTGAACTAGATCCTGTGTCTCTTGTAGGCGGCCTAATACCTTGGTCTTGGAAAGGACACGATGCCTGTTGGTCGATCTGTCGTTATAGAAGATGCGAAGAAGCTGTTGCTGTCCCAAGACCATGGCTTGTAGAGGGTGGAGAAGGAGACGCAGATGATGTGGAGGTGCATCATCACTACCTGTTAGTCGACCTTGAAGAAAGCCCCGGAAAAGACAGTACAATGACGGTAGCTTGCGGCCCATTTGGATATCGTTTGCACCAGGCTGTCCAATCCAGTCGTTGTACGATTGTGCGTTCCAGAGATTTTCATCATGAGGTAAAGGCACTTGTAAATCGAAGTTC